AGAGGTAAGTTTGCTACTTTTATAAGCATGTACGGTCCGACCATGTGTTATCCTGATGGCACGCGTGATCAATTCTACACTGAGCTATCCTCCGTGATACGGTCTGTGCCGAGGGGCGATCGAATATTTCTGCTGGGTGATTTCAACGCGCGCGTTGGACGTGATGCATCGGTGTGGGCAGATGTTATCGGTTTGCATGGCATTGGTTCAGAGAATGCGAGCGGTGACAGGCTGCTCTCACTGTGTGCCACTCACGGCCTGACGATCACGAACACTCGGTTTGCACTGAGTGCGAGTGATATAGCAACTTGGACGCACCCACGGAGTGGTCACGCTCACCCGCTCGACTATGTCATCGTACGTCAGCGTGATATGCATGAAGTGCGCATGACACGTGTACTGCGTGTTGCTGAGTGTGGCACTGCTCACAAGTTGGTGCGGACCAAACTGTACATATATTTTCGTAAATCTATGTATTGCACTCCCGCCGTGAATCGGCGTAAATTTATCATTCTCTCCCTCGGTACTGTGGCGAAACGTATTGAGCTGGAGAAGGCGATGGCTGCACGCCTGTGTGATGTGCACTGCATAGCCACAGTGGGCGACCTGTGGCACCACGTTCGCGACCAGGTGACAGCTGCTGCCGAGGAGACCATCGGGCGTGCAAACTGTAAGCGGCGTGATTAGTTTGATGGCAATAATGCGACGATTGGCGCATTGGTGTCGCAGAAGAATGCAGCATTTGCTGCAAATGTGGCAGACCCCAGTGAATTGGGGAAGAATAGTCAGTTTCGCAAACTTCGACGGCGACTCACCCGAGACCTCCGTCGCATTAAAAATGCATGGTGGACGGAGAAGGCGAAGCAGATGGAATGCTACGCCGAACTCTGCCAACACCAGGAATTCTGTGACTCTTTGAAGGCGGTGTATGGACCAAGACTGGAGCCGCTGATGAAGCTGAGCAATGATAGTTCAGGCGCTACTTGCACACAGACTGCAGACATAATGCAGAGCTGACGAAACCATTTCGACTGTCTCTTGAACAATCGTTCAGAGATCGACTGGCCTACATGGAACGGTCTCAAGCAGCACGATTTGAAGGCGAATCTGGCGGACACGCCGACACTGGATGAGACGCAGAGAGCCCTTGCTCATCTGCGAAACGGCAAATGTGCCGGGGCCGACGGGATCCCGCCTGAAGTATTGAAACACGGCGGACCCGCGTTGTTGACTGCGCTGCACCGCTTAGTGCAACGCGTAAGGATTGAGGAGGAGGTGCCTCCTGAGCTGTAGGATGCCCTTGTGCTACCACTGTACAAGGGCAAAGAGAGCAACCAATGTTGCACGGATTATCGTGGCATCAACTTGCTGAGTTTTGTGGGCAAGGTGACTGCCCGATTCCTGCTCAACCGCCTCGTCAGTCACGTTGTGGAAACTAACGTGGCGGAAGAACAATACGGATTTCTTTGGGGACGCAGCACTATAGATATGGTGTTTGCGGCTCGTCAGTTGCAAGAGAAGTGCAGAGAACGACACCAGCCATTGTACTCGCTTTTGTTGATTTCACCAAGGCATTTGATACCGTGAACCGCGAGGCATTGTGGTTGGTGTTGGGTAAGTTTGGTTGCCCGCGTAAGTTTGTAAGTTTAATTGAATGTCTGCACAGTTGTATGCGATCGAGGGTGAAGCTGAGTAGAGAGACCTCGGATGACTTTGCAGTTGTCACTGGTGTGGAGCAAGGCTGTGTCTTAGCTCCTGCCCCGTTTAATATATATCTTCATGCAATGATGTCCTGTGCGTTTGATGCGTCTTGTGCTTACGGTGTTCGTGTGGAGCACCGTATTGATGGTGGGTTGTTGAATGTTCGTCGTTTCGGTGCGAGAACTCTAGTCTGTGAGACAACTATCCGTATGTTGTTGTTTGCTGACGACTGTGCGTTGTTTTCACACAGTGCGGATGAGTTGCTGCACAGGACTGGTGCTGTGTCTACGACAGCGGCCGAATTCGGGCTCACCACCAACACAGGCAAAACTGTCTGTCTCTTTCAGTCTCCACCGGAGGTGCAATGATCAATGGTGCCGCGAATCAGCATTGGTGCTAAAGTATTGGAAACCGCCTCCCGCTTTTGCTTCCTTGGGAGTGTGATGTCGACTGATCAGCAGCTACACAGTGAGCTGCGTATCCACGTGTCGAAGGCAGCCGCGGCATTCCGGAAGCTTGAGTACCGTGTGTGGAACAACCATCAGCTTAGCATTGGCACAAAGCTGATGGTGTACAAATCCATGGTACTGTCCGTTCTTTTATACGGCAGTGAAACGTGGACGATGTACCGTCGGGATGTGCGACATCTCGAGCGGTTCCATCAACAGTGCTTGCGACGGATTTTGCGCATCGGTTGGGGAGACAGTGTTGCAGACACGGAAATGTTACGACAAAGTGGAGTGTATGCAGTGGACTGCATAATTTTACTGAGACAAATGAGGTGGATCGGTCATGTGAGCCGTATGGATTCGACGCGGATATCGAAGCAGCTATTATATGGTCAGCTGAGTATAGGGAAGCGGCACGTGGGGAAACCAAAGTTACCTTACCAGGACATGATTAAAGTGAGCCTCTCACGTTCTAATCTTGATTGCAGGTCATGGGAATCGAAGGCGGTTGATCGGCGTGCATGGCGCGATCTGATCACGAAGGCAGTTGCAGAGGTGCAGTAGGAAGCCCTTATACACGCAGAGAAGATGCGGCAAGTGCGGAAGCGGCAAGCACCTATGGATTGTTCTTCATCGACATCGAGGGCATTGTGCTGTAGAACATGTGGTCGCGAGTGCCTGAGCCAGGCAAGCCTATTGAGCCATGAGCGAGGTAAATCGGGACCACTACTGAAGCGACGACGGGTCCTGCAGAGAACGTAGGCAGAACGAGCGCAGCGTTTGTAGGTACGCTGCATTCGATTTACTAACGACGTGCTTGCATGCTAAGTCTATTTATTTCAGGTGGTGGGTTTGCAATTTTGTCCTAATGCTTTCCTTACCCATAGAAATGTCTAGTTACACTCTCTTCTATACACTTGCACACGTCGCTTAAGCCACTTATAGTTATTTCGATAACATTTTCGTGTTTGTAGCATTTCGTAAAATAAACCTCCTGACCTCTGAAGTTATCTAGGAATCGTTTGTAAACAACTTATCGCATATGCTCACTAATTTAAGATTTATGCCACCGCTTCCTTATGCGTTACTCGATTAATTTTCTTGGTTATTTTTCTCTCCAGTGATTGGCTGTTGCTTGATATCCCCGGGGTGGCTGCGCTTGATGTGCATGTTGACAAGGTGCCTACCTGTCTATTACCCACTACCTCGTCCATACTGGCTCCAGGAGACAGTTGGTCGTTGCTGGAGGGGACAGGGTGCACGGTCCTTATGGCCGTGTTAGGATCAAAGAGTGGTTCCATGCAGTCAGTGTGGAGCAGACTACGGTCCAGCCGCCGACCTGTGTGGGCGATTGATTCCCCAAATACAGCGTGCTTGTGTTTGCCTGTGAAGGAGTGTGGGACGGCTCCGTTGATGAAACGAGGCTCCCATCCACATGCCTCCCGGTCTTATTACTTCGGGTTTACACTGGATATGGGGTGCGTGGATGGATCTGTGGGTTGTGTAGCGCAAGCCACCCCTGGTCCCTCTGTGGGCGCAGGCGTCCTGTGGCTGGCCACAGTGACAAGCAAATTCGAAACCGGATTCCGCCAACCATATATTGCAGGCGGGAGAACCAAGGCTGTGCTGATGCTGGTGGTGGCTAGATCCTGACAGATGATCTACGCACTGCTTCGACTGTTGTGCCATGGGCTCATGTCCTGGGCATCTCCTCGTCGCGACCGCTGGGTGGGAGTTGGGTTTCGCCCTTCTCCCTCCAAAGATCCAGGACACCAATCCGCATGAGTCAATGAACTGACCGTGTGCTAGACCCGCTTCCTTTCGGGTGTTCATTTAATCGAAGGCTTTGGCTGAGGACCCGAGTCGTTCTCCTGTCAGGAGTGGGCGCCCTGCCAGTATCCTAATCCATCCTCTTCGGAGGTTAGGAAGTGGTCGATGGGTCTCTTCCCGTAACACCTAGCCATGGGAAACAACAGGTCTACGGGTTATAAGCTCACAGCTCGATTGGCGTAGAGCACGAGCGTCACGCATTGTCTCTGATGGTGGGAGGGCACCTCCGCATGTTCAATGGTTTGCTACTGCCCGCCTCAAGCCAAGTAGCCCCTGGTCAAATTGGTGCAAACCCGCCAAAACCCACCTGCGTATGGCCGTGGTAGCAGGTGCGTATCCTACTACGGTCGTAAAACAAATATATGGTTCGTTCCAGTACCTTAAAGGCTGCGTGTGACGTCCGTCAAGTATATCCCAATCTAACCCTGCCATCACATTCCCGATCTAGATCTGCTCCCCACTGCCTTGTGGGTCAGGCTATTGAAACAAAGGCTCCGGGAGAAGACCCTCAAGCAAATCTCTAAATCACCCACTGCCTTGTTGGCAAGGCTACTGAGCCAAAGTTATAGAGCCTAAACTCATCGTACGAGCCTGAGACTTTTGGTCCTAGCCATTTGGTTTCGTCGGAAATGCCTATATTGAACTTACGGTACACAAGAGCTCAGTGAAATAAGTTGAGAAAGAACTCATTTAATTCCTGATATATAAATTATGGAGACCTATGTCTATCACATGAGCATTGTAAGTTCCGTCCGAACTTCAGTTTATCCTACAAGCTAGATTATTTCCGGTCGAATATTCACCATCATCAATAGCGACGTCTACCTTCAACCCCACACAACGACTGAATTTCTTGTGCTGCAGCTGTTCGTAATCTCAAACAAAATGGGTATTTCATCTTTGTTTGGATGAATGACCACTTGCCATCACAGGTTTGGTTATTACTGGTTGCATTAACTTGCCACTTTCAAATGGACATAGATTTATTAAGACTGCGTGAAGGAACAGCTGAAAACTCACCGAAATTTGTGCTGATCACGGCGATTGAAAGGACTTCATCCTCAGATTTTCTCGGTAGATTAAGCAATGTCTTAAATGAACTGTTCGAATTGGTTGAAAAACTAAAACCAGAATGTTGTTCCGAACTATAGTTTGTTGGTAAAATCATCTCTTATAAAACATAAATAAATAAAGCGGGGGTCCCCAGGCTGCAAAGATAATTTCTAGTTATCTCATGATGCCGGTCTGGATCAAAGATTTTCGGAATGTCGTTTTGCGATTGCGTCAAGTCCGTCACTGGTGGTCTTCTGCCATCTATTGGAACACGTGAATCTACTGCTGTATTACGATTCTGACAAAACGATGGGAGTGAGTATTTATTCCGCTAGACAGGAGATATGCCTGGTTATTCCCTTTCTCCGGTTTTACTTGCTCTGTACATATTCAAGCGCTACTCATGATCGTGCAATATATCATTAGGTGCCCAGCGTCTACCGCTTATAACTGAAAGCAAACACCCACGTTGGTTTGTTAACCATTATGATTTAGTACACAAAATACTGCAGACGTCGCGGCTGTTTTGATGTTATCTTATCAAGCGGTACAGGTTTGATTTTCAGCTTCCGATGTCTTTCGTTGAGGAAGTTGTTCTTACTTTTGTTAGCGTAAGCGCCTATGTATCGAATTTCAGTGTTCCCAGCCTAGGGAATGTACGAGAAACATTCGGCATATTTTATAAGTTACCAATTAACCACGCTGTTTACCTGTGTTTTCTTTTATCACCACTTTTATTTTTTGTTCCTCTTTCCTCCTGTCATTCTGATACTATCATTGTCACATTTCTTCCCATGAACGCACTACGAATGGGAAGTCCTGAATGCAATTGGACTATTCGAGATTTGGACTCAACACCATCAGGAGGACGATGCGGTCGTGTTGGCCAGTTCTATAAACAGAGGACTTAGAGGCGTCCATGTGAACTGGATCCTGACTACGAACTGAACACGATTCAAATTGTTATTGTGTACAAATGTTCCGTCCCTTAATTGGAACGGTTTATTATTCAAATCATTCATGTATGTACACTAAACCCACGTACGTACTGAGTTGACATTTCGCGTACTCATCTTCTCTCATAGTTGAGAAATATGCCTTAATTTATTCATGTACCTATTTCTTTGTATCTTGTCTGAACTGTAAGGCTGGCAAGGAGAGTAACACGGACAACTCACTTGAAAAAGTACTTTCCGAGCAGATGATTCCGTGAGTCACCAATTAACAAGATAGCCGTGTCAGACGAACAGGGCCTGGCAACGCCGACAGTGACCTGTAGGACTATTGTTTCGCCCAAGCATGGTGGCAGCTGAAAAGAAAAGGACTGTTCTCAAAAGAATGGTTTGTTTCAGTTGCAACAAGAAAGATTAACCCGTAATAAATTCCAGAGAGGATCATTCACAAGCTCTTTTTTGGACAGAATAGTAAAGTACAATTAACCAGCACCAAGCTAGACTATCAGTTGCAACAAACAATGGTAAAGTATGAACAAGACCGTGACAGCCTCAAAGGCTTTGAGGATGCCGACAAGTTTTGAGTTTCCAGCTACATGACGCTAATAGTTTGAGTTGAAATTAAAAGGAAAGGACGGATAAATACTCATACACAAGAATCTTTTGCAGATAAAGAGATTTACACAGGCATTGATTACGCGCGGTCAAATCAGACTGTCTTCATTGTGCACAACCATGTTTCAGTTGGGCATAAATAACCGCATTAGAAATACTAAGCAAATTGCTTTGTGAGAAACAAGGGTTATTGAAGCATATACACGGTTCCTTAAAGGGTAGGATAGAGTAACCCGTCCCCAACAATCGAGTACCTCTACTGTCTAACCTGAAATTTGGCGTTTGTTATAAAAATAGACTAATCCTTAGGATACCTGATGCTCGTCGATTCTCTAACCATCCAGCGTTGCTCTATATTGCCGAGTACATTTCCATAAACTGAGAACACCGGGCCGCGATCAGTAAGTCGTTTATTACCATTACCCATGGATATTCATAGAGAACATACACTAGTTACGAGAGTCCGCGCATTGGCTCAAACATCTCGTTTGCATTAAGTCACTGGGTCAAAAGCATCTTCAGCAAAGTTGTCCAAAAGGTCTAAAATATTGCAAAGACGGTTCAAAATGTTGCAAAACCCTGTGCGATTCGTCAGCAGCTCAAAACCAATTCTCTGACCTTAACTGTGTTCTCATTGGTCGGATGCCAAGGTTCGGTGCGTTAGTCTGGGGAGGTTAGCGCGCTGCCAGTTGACTGGGTGAGACTTGTGAACGACCCTTAGAGGCATGCACTTCGGCGGTGCAACGGGCCTGTATGCGTCCCCCTCACGTCCGAAACGGTGGATCACAATTGGTCTGAGAGCAATGAACAGCTGGAACATAGACGCACGACCGAACCCATATCTATGCTACTAGCGTCTTCAGCATGCCTTCTCGTGTTCGACAGACCATCTCAACAGACATTCGTGACCGAGTTTTGGACGTCTTTGTCAACGGTGATGACTGGCAGCTGGTAGCAACTGCGAACAACGTCAAAAATCAAACAGCCTACTCCTGGACTCGACCTTCTCTTGATCAGGAGCCGAGTACTACGCAGACGCGCAGTCGTAAGCGGATTCTGTCGGAGAAACACGTAGTTGACATCCTGGATTGCATCGCAAGGGACTCAACTCTTATGCTACGGGAAATGCGAGTACGAGTACGAGCAGAAATGGACAAGGATATTTCGAAGTCAACAATCGCACGGCACCTGGATGGTCGATTGATAAATATGAAGAACATCTATCAAGTTCCGGAGGGAATGAACAATGAGCAAACCAAAGGGATACGCAAGAAATTCGTTCAGAAGTTTCTCCAACTTGAGTGCGATGGCAAGTTCTTCCTTTGGATTGACGAAGGGAACTTCAACATTTACTGCAAACGTACTCGTGGTCGGGCGCCCAGAGGAGTGAGGGCCTGTTGCAAAGTTGCCAACAGTAGAGGCCTCAATTTGCATTTGATCGGTGCACTCACAATGGAAGGGAAACTGTCGATGACCACCCGGAGAGGCTAATTCACAGGACCCCTATCTCTCGAATGGCTGCGAAGCTATTTAAACGACCTGAAACGGGAGATGGAGCTCCGGCAGGTTGTCGTGGTGTGTGTTAATGTACCATGTCACACACGACTGGAAGAACTGTCGTCAGTAGATGTATACGAGGGAGTTACCATACTGAGATTGAGCCCATACTCTCCGTTCCTCAATCCGATGGAGAATGTTTGGCACGCAGTGAAGGCCAGAGTGAAGATTGCAATGAGAGTGCACTACGAGGAACTTTTGGTCGGTGATCCCCAGAAACTCATGACACAGATGGAATGGAGGCTGCAGTTCCTTGAACGCATTGCCGGAGCAGCCACCAAGGATCTCAGCGTTGTGGGATGTCGTAATGCTATTCGACATATGCGTGTACATTTTCCTAATTGTCCAGAAAAAATGACATGTTTTGCTCACGTTGCTGGCCTATTTTTTACGTATCTGGTTGAATGGCACGTCACTGGCGGCGCGTAGGGAGGTATGAGTATTCACAGTGTTTTCAAAATATATATGCACATACGTAAGTTTGTGTGTTCATACGGGGGTTGAAGCGATATCTGATGTCTAGCGCAAGGGCGTGACACGGGATCGGCTTCCAGTGAGCCATGTCCGAGTGATATGTACAACTTATGGTCCTTTTCGTGCTGGTATTCGCTGCGCCGTACTCTTTCATGATCAGCGTGAGATTATGTAGATACAGTTTCTTTGTTCGGAAAACTAGGATATTTGGAAAGCGCATTGTAGGACCAAGTGAGCTTGCCGGGTGAAGCAACCGTCAGATATATCACAGTATGGAATATCAGCGTGGATAGTTGAATAGTAGTGAACAGGAAATTACTGCGCACGTCAAGTCAGCCTTTTCCAAAAGTGAGAGGAACTGATAGATGCGCGGATGCGAGTTCGCAAACGCGTCCATTGCCAGACAAGATGTCGCCATTGAAGCTGAACGAATGAATCGCGTGTCTAATGGAAACCGTCTCTGTGCAATGTTTGTCCGCTGTATTTGCATGCACTGGCGCGTTGATTCGTTACCCGATTGCAAGTTGGTCTGTCAAGTTCAGAACCCACATCAGCCGGTTTGGAAGCCGTACTTTAGGTTTAAAAACAACCATTCCTACAGCAAGCGCAATTTAATTTGCGTGCCAGAAAGGCCCGAATAGCTGTCCAGTACGACTTGCATACTGTCTTGATCTTTCGGATGATCCCTCGTTTGACCCAATAGCGTACGTAAACAAATGGGGGTGTAGTTGGCGTGGATACAGTGGCGTAGCAAGTACTCTTGCTGTCCGTGGCGGACATACAATTACTGCCGCGCTCGCAGTTGTAAAGCTCACAATTGAAATTGCCATTCAATATTTCGTTTCACATTACAACAATCACAGCTGTACTTATAGAATGTTATCATGAATGCAGCTATTTGAATTGTAAAATACTCGTGTTCAAAATTTACATGCACACTTTTCGTGCACTACTTGAAGACGCTGGCATCCCAGCTGAATAAGCGCTCATCGAACGCAATTGAACATTACTGGTCGCAAATCCGTCAGACTTTGTTAGCAGCGGGTATGTCTTAATGTGGCAAATCAAATCACCAACCTGAACATTGGGTCACTACGCAGTCTCAGGAACTTGTAGATGCTTGTCAACGTGTTCCGGCTGATAGAGAACACAAGGAGACTCGCAAAAATTTCAGGGCGAAACTGCTTGCTAACCTGTAAAGAGACGGGGAAGCCTGGTGGCCGAGTGGTCTGCACGCCTGGCTTGTAATCACAAGGTTTCCGGTCCGAATCTATTTTCCTGGCCTGCTTTGTCATCCTGGATGTCTTCTCGGTGCTCACCCAGTGTCTGAAACCCCGTCCATCGTAAAATTGACTATCCAATTGACTCAGTGAAGTGTTCGTCCCTCGCCTAAATGTACGCTTGATCTCCAATCAAAAGCCGAATTCGCTGACTCCCCCACAGGACAGAGAGAAGACCGGATCGAAAAAGCAGTGCAACAGGGTTCTATTAGCGAATCACACCGTTCATTATAAAGGTGAAATGGAAGGTTCGTGAATGGTATTTAAAGCGCACTTGGAAAGCTCTGAAAAGGTAAACTTCCAGTAAATCAAGGAACGCCGCGCTCGCGTTAATTGGCCGCTTCTCCCGGTTGACTCTGTGTTCGCCCCAATCAGGGCGGGTGAGTTTGGATCGACAGCCGCGGCGATGAGGTCCTGGCTTGTTCGCATCACGTATTACTTCCTAGCGCTAGTGGTAACACTGAGCCAATACTGTGACAGGATAATCAAGTGCCACCATAACTGAACATCGCTTGAATGCTGATGCCATTTGTGGCAAATGTCATTGCCTATCGTGGAAGTGCGAAATACTGCCAGGCAGCCGGTTTATGTACGGCACATATGTCTTTTAACACGACTTCGGTGAGCAAGAATCCGTTACTTCAACTTTTATAGCGCTTGTCGAAATGATTCTACGTTGTTAAATGTGGTATTGACAGAACATCAGATACAGACAAACAAAATTTTAAGCTCATTACTACCATCTATCTGAGCTCAGGAAATGTAGCTTACGAAACCGCGAATTTCTCACAATTGGGGTTTTTACATTGCCGCGGCAGGCGATCCAAACTCAGCCGCCCTGCTTGGGGCGAACAGAGAGCCAACCGGGAAAAGCGGCCAATTGTCGCGAGCGCGGCGTTCCGTTATTGGTTGTAAGTTGACCTTTTCAAAACTTTCCACCTTTACTTTAAATACCATTCACGAACCTTCCATTTCACCCTTATACTGAACGGTGTGATTCGCTAATACCCCCCTGTTGCTCTGCTCGTCCGATGCGGTCTTCTCTCTGTCCTGTGGGGGGCCAGCGACTTCGGGCTTGATTGGGAATCAAGCGTCCATTCAGCCGATGAACGAACGTTTTAGTTGGCGACGGAGATGGGATGAACCTTAATCAAGATATCCATGTCGGCTGACAAGCTCAAGGCCATTGTGCTGCAGCAATAAGCACAATTTGGCGCATCCCAGGTCAGGCTGATCGAAACTCTTACGCACCAACTCTCAATCCAGACCGGTTTATTGTCTACAACAGTCAAGCCGTCCGCATCGGTAGACGCCAGCCCTTACAGCATTACCGAATTTCCGTACGACTTTGATGCTGGCCTCATCTTTGAATCTTGGTTCAAGCCTTATGAGATGTGTTCTGCGTTGAGCTTGGAGACCATGACGATTGG